CTGTGACTCCCAGGTGCATCTCTGTGACGTGACAGTTTAGCATAAAGCACATCCTTGTATCCACACAGCTGTGACCCCCAGCAGTGATGCGAAGTTCTCTGTCTTTATGGTTTCATTTTAGGTGCTTACAACAATGCGGGTCTGGTGCCGTTAGCCAATGTGATAGCTCCAGGGGTCCCTCCTCCACCTCCGTATACTCCAAATCCAGCAGGAACAGGTAAAGGCTGCTGCAGTGCACTTAGTGCCCATAATTCATCTCTAAACGTGTCTATACGGTAACAGCCTGTTTTATCCATGCAAATATGATTCTCGTGTCCTTGCAGTGTTTTCAGTGTTGTCTATTTATGTCTTGACTTTTCTTTTTTGATATCTGTCTGTGATTATGATGGGGAATAATCTGACTAAAGCTTGAAATCATTTATTTTTCCATAGACAATGAAGACCTCTCCAGTCAGTCAAAACCTGCACAGAGTCAAAGTAAGTACCAAACAGACCCAAAGACAACTGCTGCCTGTTGTGATCGTTGACCATTCCCCACTGGAGACTTGAGTTTAGCATCTGTGGATGTCCTAGGAGGCTCCTGGGTGTAGAGGAACGCATGCCTGCCGAGAGTGACTTGACAGGAGAGGTTTGACAGGCACAAAATGTACGTATTTCAGTTAATTTTATGACTTTGTGTCCTGTTTGCACTCTGTGAAATCTGAAGGTCACGTGGCATATATATCCGTGTCCACTTAGCATTCTGATGTGGGAAAGGTGATCTTTATATGCACACGAAGATAACCCTTTCTGACAGATAATAAGTCTAGTAAGTCCTAAGGTGGAAAGTGATAAGTCCACTGGAGCCGCAGAGGGCACTGAGCTCAGGTGGTCTTGCTGGGAAAGCTCCTTCCGCATGAAGGTGCCTAGTAGGTGCAGCAACTCCTATGTAAAGGAGGGGTGCAGAGGAAACAGAACAAACATCAGTATTTCTTACTGTCGCATGGAGCCACCAAGCCTTGTGAACAAGTCGTCTAACTTTATAGAAATAAAATAATAATTTTATAATAAATAATTTTAAAGTCTTTACATTTAGTTTTATAATTTAAAAATATCCCCCCTTTTAAAACCTACTGAACAGTAATGAAGACTGCCTCTATAGGGTAAGACCGTGGTCCTCGGTACTTGATAGCCCTGAGATATTATTTGTTGTGTTGTGCTTTTTGCTGTGCTGGAGGATTGAGCCCAGGGCCCTGTGCATGCTCTCCATAGACAGCTGGCCTTGCCACACCTCAGCTTACCTATATATAAAGTGGGAGTGCTGGTCTCAGGGTTAATGTGAGGACAGATGGACTGGTGGCCATAAGTGACACCTAGCTGGGCTGTGACAGATGGTGTGTGATGGCTAGTGTTCACAGCAGGTGACAGAAGGTATGATTTGTCATGTAAATTACTGCAGGGACTGCTGGTAGCTGAGTCTGTGCTCTGTGGATTAAGAGATTCAACGGGAATATCTCTGAGAGTTCTAGGAGGGCCTTCTGGCCTTTTCTTCTAGCTTTGTATTAAGTACATGGTCCTCAGCCTATCAGTGAATAAGACTGAATTATCGTGTTTCCCAGTCACGGTGGATCAATGCATTTGTTGATACAAACTCCAACTTCAGCCCATATTTCATCCCTGATGATCCTGGTTCTTACCAAACACATACAGAAGTACAATACAGACCCATTTTCATGGTGACTATAAAATGAGTCTTTTCATGAAATTAAGTCACTGCTCACAACATGGATTTGGTAGTGTGCATGTGCAAGGCTTTGAGTTTAATCTCCTACACCAGGAAAAAGAAAATAGACCTAAGTGAGAAACATGAATATGGTGTGGCCCTGAATTTGAAGTATTCATACTGTTGATTTTTAGTTTTCTTATCATGTTTGTTTTCTGAAAAAGTACCAAGGGTTTCACAGCCGCACTGTGCACAGTGGCTCAGTTCTGGTGTTTCCTTTGAGCTCCTCTCCCACCAGGCCATCACTGTGCTGACCATGTGAGCGTCCGAAGGTCGAGAATCTGCCTTCCACATGGATCGCTCCCTGAAAATGCCGTTCAGTAGTTATGGCTGTAGATGAAGGCACGGTCTATGTTGCCTCGGACACAACATTGAACTCATCCTAGGAAGAGGAACCCAAATTACCCCCAAATCCTTCTTTTAATTATCCATAGGGCTTATCAGAAGAAATATAGCATAGCAAACAGAAAATAATATTGAGAACGAGTTCTTGGATAGTTTGGGAGCTGTCCTCTAAGATGATCCTGTATGGATCCCTGACACAAACTTACTAAAACAGCAAGGCCTGAAGTAAAGGATGAATTAGACACAGTGTTACACTTAAATGTGTCCCCAGAATAGGCTAAGTGCAGCTTCGGAGCTGTTGTCAGTGCGCAAACTCAGGCTGTGGACCCTTCAGGGCCTGAGGTGGGAGGTCATGCATGCGTTCAGACCCCTCCCCAAGTGGTCCAGGGTGAAGCCAGTGAGTACCTCCTCACCAGTGGTGCCAGTGTTTATGAAGCAGAAAAGTAGAGAAGGAAGATTTCGAGCTCCCCCCGGCTTCCTGACTGATGGCTGGCGCGGCAGGGCTGAGTCCTGACCACAGACGCTCCAGAGTGAAGTAGGATGATGGACCCAGCAGTCCAGACATGTAAAGAGCTACTTAAAGTCTGCCATCGGTTTTCCTTGGTATTTGTGAAATATAACAACAACAAAAAATTGGTTATGTTTCTTCTAAATTGAACATTCCAGCACAGTATAAACCCTGCCTCTTCTCTCCCCACAGCGTTTTCCACCCCAGCCAGTCAGCTCTTCTCTCCTCATGGTTCTAATCCTTCGACCCCTGCTGTGACTCCTGTCCCTGCTGTGTCCCCAGTCAAGGCAGTAAACCATCCCTCCGTGTCAGCAGCTGCCACTGGGGCCGGAATGAGTGCTCCCAACGCTGCCCTGTCAGTGTTCCCAGCACCCCAGCCAGCCACGCCAAACCCGACTGTGATCCGGACTCCCTCGGTGCCCGCGGCACCCGTTACTTCTGCCCACAGCACGACACCTGCTCCTGTCCCTTCCATTTTCTCTGGCCTAGTGCCCCTGCCAGGTCCCTCTGCCACCCCTTCCCCATCTCCTCAGGCCAGCTCAACGCCAAGGGTCACACTGGCTTCCAGTGAGACCTTTGCTTCCACTTGTGCCCCGTTCACCAGCCACTCCTTGGCCAGCTCTGCCGCTGGCTCAGCCAGTAACCCAAGCACAGCGTCCCTGTCCTCTGTCTTTGCAGGCCTGCCTTTGCCCTTCCCGCCAGCGTGCCACAGCAGCATAGCCGCCCCAACTCCCTCGCTGATTGCCAGTGCTTCAAATCCGCACGCTGTAAAAAGCCCTCTCCTCTCTGCCTTAAAAGGCTTCCTCACGTCAAATGACACACACTTAATCAATTCCTCTGCCTTGTCGTCTGTGGGCACAAGTGGCCTGGCTTCATTATCCCCTTTTCCCAATCAAAACTCGGATTCTCCTGCCTCAGCCACTAACAAGTGCTATGCCCCGGCAGCTGTTGCTGCCACGCAGAGGTCTTCTACCCCAGGAATGGCCATGTTCCCAGGCTTGCAGTCCCCTGTGGCCGGCGCCACCTCTGCAGCCCCAGCGCTGCCCGCACAGTCTCCGTTAGCTACTCCCTCCTCCACAGCAGTGCCAGTCAGCTGTGGCTCCTCAGGCTCACTTTTGCATGGTCCCCATGCAGGCGGCATCTCATCCACCCCTGCTGCAGTCACTGTGCCTGTTATGATCAAAAGTGAGCCCACGAGCCCCCCTCCCTCGGCCTTCAAAGGCCCTGCTCACCCCGGGACTCCTGCTCGCGGTACCTTGGGCCTGTCGGGCGCTCTGGGCCGCGGATACCCTCCGACCTCAGTGCCCATTAGTGTGTCCACTTGCCTTAACCCTGCACTGTCCGGGCTCTCCAGCCTGAGCAACCCTCTGGCTGGTTCTATGTCCCTGCCACCACACCCATCCTCCACGCCCATTGCTCCTGTGTTCACGGCCCTGCCCCCTTTCACTTCGTTGACCAACAGTTTCCCTCTACCGGGCAGTCCATCTCTCAATTCCGCTGTGTCCCTCACGGGGCCGTCAACCACCACATCTGCAGCTGCACACCCCAGCTCTGCGACCGTGCGCCCAGTGCTGCCCACCTCCAACGCCTCGCCTGCAGCCTTCCCACTCAACCTGTCCACTGCGGTGCCCTCACTCTTCGCGGTCACCCAGGGCCCTCTTCCCGCATCTAACCCTTCCTACCCTGGCTTCCCTGTCTCCAGTGCCCCAAGTGGTGCCCCCGCACTGCCCTCGTTCCCGGGGCTGCAGGCGCCCTCCACAGTAGCGGTCACCCCACTGCCGGTGGCTGCCTCAGCCCCATCACCTGCGCCTGTCCTCCCTGGATTTGCCTCGGCCTTCAGTTCCAACTTCAACTCCGCCCTGGTGGCACAAGCAGGGTATGTGACCAGGCTGCAGACAGATGCAAGTCGCTTCTCACCAAGTTTATGTAGCCGAGTCTTGATTCGTATTGACTACGGAGGGGTGGGAGGACAGAGCGGTGCCCAGAATGTTCCATGACTCTTCACCTATGTTCGGCGGAGTGGTTACTTAGTTTGCTGAAATTTTTATCCACTCTGAGTAAGTTTTGCGACAGTGAGTGGCTCACTTCCGCTGTTCCGTCCTACAGAGACGTGAGCCAATTTGTTTTCTTGCTTTTACCATCTTTAAGCTGCCCCTTGCCAAATACGGCAGCAGCCTTTCCCTCTTCCGCCCTGTCTGCTGTTTGACTTGTTTTTCTACTGATTGTTTTCAGTTTGTCATCTGGACTCCAAACTGCTGGTAGCTCTGTTTTTCCAGGCCTTCTGTCCCTCCCAGGTATCCCTGGGTTTCCCCAGACTCCTTCGCAGTCGTCCCTTCAAGACTTGCAGCACAGCGCAGCTGCGCAGTCGGCTTTGTTACAGCAGGTACGTAGTGTAGACTGCAGGGGTGAACGGCCCTACAGCCCAATGTGGACGGGAATGGGACTTACCAGGGTATCAGTGTGGTTTGTTTCTCTCCTTTGAGAAGTAACAAAGATGGTAGTCAAATGCATGAATTGTTTTCCCCGTTTAGAGAATTTTCTTAAATCTCAGTTTGGAGACGTTATAACATGAAAACTAAAGTCAAGACAATTACAGTTTAATATGTCTTCTATTTAAGCCATAATGAACAGTAAGGCTACTTCTCTCTACAAAACAACATCAAAACCCCACCTCCTGACATTTTTAAAACACCTTTTGCCCTCTCGTGCCTGTGTTGTCTGGTTGTATGTGGGTAGGATCTGGTCCACACCCAGTGAACTGGGACTCTGCTAACTGTGTCCCTCTCCCTACAGGTCCATTCTGCGTCCGCTCTGGAGAGCTACCCCGCCCAACCCGACGGGTTCCCTAGCTATCCCTCCACACCTGGAACACCATTTTCTTTGCAACCGGGTCTATCCCAAAGTGGATGGCAATGAGTTTGAAACACAGTTATTCTTAGGAGCAACATGAAATTTGCCCAAGAACTGCAATGAACAATCTGACAGATATGAAATTGTCCAATAGTCCGAAAGGGCGTTCTCTTAGGGACACGGGGACAGAGGTTAGGCGTTCAGGTTCCATTCTTAAAGTGACTGTAAGTACCAGTACCCCCACTCCTATACATGTAAATATGCTGACAATGAATTGTATGGAGAATAGTGGTTTAAATTATGTGGGAATTTTCGCCTCCCATTCTACAGGGGTTTGAATTACATATGTGATCTATTTGACTTGCGTATGTGATCTAGACTATTAAATAGGAGATGGAACTCTTCATAACCAAATACAGCCTTAAATCTGCTTGTATGGCCTCCGTGGACAGAAGTGATCATTGTGCCTCAGACTGGGTTGCATGTGGCCGTGGGGGAGTTGCTATTCTACAAATGCATGCGCGGCTCCAGTTAGCATCCACTGGAATGCAGTTCTCCGTGTGTATTCACAAAGGGGGACTCGAGACCCACTGTTTGTAATGTTATTAGTTATCATGCATACTGCTGAATTTAACTCAGTATATTCCAGGTAAAAGTGGTGCTTATTGTAGTCTTTAGAATGACTTTCAGGTGTTTTCAACTAAAAAAAAAAAAAATGTATACCCAGAACATATGTATAAGGAAGGGAGGCTTAGGATAATTTTGCATCGCAGTTTTCTCAGCAGTATGCCCACAGGAGAGTCCCCGGCCACCACTCTTACTACTTGTACCCTGGAAGCTCTTGGTGAATGTTTACAGTCATGGATGTATTTCTACTCAAATGCCCATTGGGAAATAAGCGTGCGGCAGTGGTTGAGGAGGCTCGCTCTGTCAGGAAGCGCAGCATGCGCTACAGGCCCTGGTGGCAGAATGTGACCCACCATCGTCCTCAGCAGCGTCTGCCGCATTAGGGGAGGGGGTGTAGGACGGATGTAAACCGTAGACTCTGCTGTAGCACATCTCAACACCTAGAGGTTCTACTTTTATAAAGATGGTGTCCGGAAGATGTTGCAAATGTATTTTCCTTTGACATGGGGAACAAACTTTTTAAGTATATTGAATAATCCTGTATGGTTAGTTTTTAACATTTTTTAAAATAAACTTTATGAATATGACAAACATTGTTGAAGTGTTTTATTATATGCTAGGTACACAGGCTACTTAGTTTTTCTAATTTCTAGGGCTAATATATTGAAGATTTTTGTCTGCATTTAGTTGAAGCTCCATTTAGAGTACTGATTGCCTAGACCCTTAAAACCCTTATGGGAAAGTCACACAATGACCAACACTTGGAACAGAAAGGTCTCTTCAAGCACCGACCAATACCAGTTGCTGGAAGTTGCCTTTTTCAAGTCCACGTTCAAGATCGTATCAGTCTTACGTGTGCTGGCCCTTCGGAAAATGGTTACCGATTGAGTAGTCTTCACGGTGATTCTACTGTGAAATACAGGCTACCCTCTGGGCCCCTTGAGCAGAGCATGTATCTACCTTTTACTGTGCCCTAGCACGCTGAGTGCATTGGACATGCAAAAGTTTATGGAAACGTTTAGATAACATTTCTGAGTACAGGTAGTAGGCACTGGGGTCTGACTTTATGTTTGTGGTGCACAAACTTCTGAAGTAACAGCTAGTCAGTCTGATCTGCTGATGGGGAAGCCAAGAGGAGAGGCACAGACTGGGCAGGAGAAACCCAATGTTTACTTACCAGCCGGCTGCAAAGGGAGCCCTTGGGCAAGTTGTAGGGAGGTAACCTTACCTTTGTGGGTCCAGGAAAACTTAAAAGTTGTTAAAAGTCTTAAGAGATAAGTAAGAACATTCTAGAAAATGTGAAAAACTTGAGAAAACTGCCTGCTAAGAGTATAGTCGAATGGAGTCGTTTGAACAAAACTAAGAAGCAAGAGAGACTTGAGTAAAAAGATCACTCAACTTTATTAATCCTCAATACTTTGACAGCCTCTTGAGTTCCTAAAAATCCTGTTGGTGCCAGTGTAAGCATTACAGCTCGAATGGAAGGATATCCTGGCAGTTGGGAGCCTAGGAATCCACGGTCACACCGCACAACCAACCTCACACAAGACATTTATGGGGAGGGGAAAAAACAAGGAAGGTGACTGCCTCTGCTTGGGCAAGGAGCTGGACAGAAGGCAGGGTTTATATAGAGTTTATTGGGAAGGGGGATGGAACTTTCCAGGGTGACACTTTCCTGGGTGGGGATTAGTGGGATTTCAAGTCCAAAGCTTGGACTTTTTACACTGTATGGTGGGGCAGAGTTCGACCATTAGGGCAGTTAGAGCGTTCTGTGGGTGGAACCTGGCATTTGGAGGTCCTCAGGGGAGGGACAGCTGTCCTCTGGGTAGAACTTCAGCTAGTGCAAGAATGGATGGAGTAAAAGTATCCAAACTGCAAAATCCACCCTCCCAACCCCACACGCATCCCCTCAGGATGAAAGGAGAAAAGACCATCCGATGATTCTTTGCCTGAGGCCGACCTGGGGTTACTCTACCCACAGAAAAATCCTCTGTAGGGACTCGGGGTGTTTATTACTTGAAGCCACCAATGCTTTCGAGGTGGAGAGTTCGGAACATTTTGCAAGAAGAAGAAAAACAGCTGTTTAGTCATCTTCCAAGGGGATGCTCGGCGAGTTCTCCCGAGACGCTTTCTAGCGGCCCCTGGGAACAATTACTGTTTTTGTTGTGAATCTTGCACTTCCTTGAGTGGCAGCTACAACATAAATGGCATTTGGCCAACACTGGGGAAAATGTCCTTAGAATAATAAGCTAAACCTCTGCTAGATGACCAGAAAGGGGCGTCTGATTCAAAGGAGAACGTTTGTCCCATTCTGGATGCAAATTAAATATTGCTTAGGCATGAGAAATGATGCTAACAGGAAGCTTTCCTATTGCTATTTACAGCACATGTTTGTCGTGAAAGATGACGGCAAGAAGCTAGAGGGCAAAGGCTAAGAAGAAACAGAATCTATGCATCAGCAACACAGAGCCAGGGGTGGGCCTGGAACTTCTGGGTTTTTCTTTCCTGTTTTTGTTTCATTTTGTTTTTCATGGGATTTTAGATATGTATTCTTGACTGATCTAGAACCTTCTACATAGAGCAAGTTGACCCCCAACTTTGTGGCAATCATTTGCCCCTGCCTTCTGAATGCTGAGATTACATGTTTGCACCATTATCCCCAGCTCTTAAGTTTTCAAACTTATAGAAAATAAGGGTCATGCTAGATGAGGGAGAGAGGAGGCCTGATCAAAGTATTCTTGTAATGAATCAAGCTTGGGCTCACTGGAAAAGAAACGAAAAGGGAGACATTGAATTAACTCAGTATTCCCCACTTAGATGATAACTGAGTCACAATTATGGGACTTGGCTCTCCTTCCCGGTAATGATAACTACCCCTTACCAGCTCCAAACAGCACTCCATTTAAATGCGACATTGGAATGAGTTTCACATTAATAACTTGTTGGTAATTCTATTATTTTTATTCTGCATTTAAAAGTCTCACTCGGGAGGCAGAGGCAGGTGGATCCCTGTGAGTTCAAGGCCAGCCTGGTCTACAGAGCGAATTCCAGGACAGGCTCCAAAGTCACACAGAGAAACCCTGTCTCGAAAAACCAAAAAGGAAAAACAAAATCTGATGCACGGTCACATGGCTTCTACATGACAAAGCAGGAGTTTCTGGCCACTCTGGCAGTGTGGGCTCCAAGCTGCTTTCTCAGCCCATCCCCCACCCCACATCGCTTCGACACAGAGCGCTAGGATTAAGGTGTAGACTGGAAGGACCCCGTCTCATGTGGGCTCGCTCGCGTTTCTGCTGGAGTCTGGTTTTCTGGACCAAGCTACCTTGTCTAGAATTCTAAAATTCTACATGCACCCATACAAGAGCCATGCTTGAGTCTGCAGAGAAGACAATTAAGCCCTTGGTAAATCTAGCCACGTCATGGGAAGTGTTTAAAGATGCTCCTGCTCGGAGGAAAACAACTAGACAGGTGGGAAAAGAAAGCTTAGAAGATGCTAGATGACAAAGAGCTGTCGGTTTTGTGCTGTTTTGTTCTTTTACACAGGCGGAAGTAAATATTTAGGATATTGATGCGAGAGAGGGATTCTCAGTATTAGACACTTATTTCTAAAAGTGCGGTAAAAAAGGAAATCCTGGGCCATGTCCTTAGTTAGCTTTCTATTACTTTAATAAACACCATGATTATAAGGAACTGGGGAGGAAAAGGTTGATTGCATCTCAGAGCTCACAGACCACCTGGGGGAAGCCAGGGCAGAAACTCACAGCAGAACTGAAGCAAGCACCACAGGGGAACACTGTTTCCTTTGCATGGCTGTCTCAGCCTGCTGTCTTATACAACTCAGACCCACCCGCCTTGGAGTAACGCTGCTGCTCACGGTGGGCTGGAACCCTCCCCCCCCACACACACACACTAATCACTAATCAAGGAAATGCTGACAAAGACAAAGAAATGAAGAGTCTCTGAGCAGTGTAGCCAGGAAGCAGAAGCTCTGCGTCTGAGAAGGAGCTTTGCTTCCTAGGAACTTTTATCATTCTTCCCTTACATATTTATCCACTGGACAAACATCTGTTGAACATCAGCTCTCGTCCAGGATGCTCCAGACACTCCGGGTGTGATGGGGAATAACCTATTTACTCTCCACATAGTAATGTGGTATCAGGCACGGGCCAGCATGCCTTTCCTTTAAAGGGGCATAAAGTACTTAAAGTTCTACAGCCCATGTAGGTCCTGTCACAGCCCCTCACTACTGAGGTGGCACAAAAGTGCCCAGAGATGATACAGGAAGGAAGGGACATGGCTGTGCGACGTTGCGGTTCACTTTAAGTGAACAGGTAGCAGGCTAAACCCTGCTTTTTCTAGAAGAAAAAGAAAAAGAAAATAGAAGTCAAGCATTGTTTGCAGTACAAAGGCCCCGAGGCAAGAGGCTGCTTAAAGTTTTAGAAAGCTGAGTGCTGGCTCATGCCTGCAATCTTGGCACTCAGGGCAAGGGGGATGAGGTACTGAGGCAGGAGGATTCTTAGGAGTTCAAAGCCAGCCTGGGTTAGAATGAAATCCTATCTGAAAACAAACACCTAAAAGCCTTAAAGTGATTGATGGATGCATAGGGAGCGGGGAATGCCAGGGAAGGGAAGGACTGGGCAGATGCCTGGGACATCTATGACTTTAAGACTTTAGCCTCAACTGTCCATCAGTTAACACTTGGGTTCTCTTAAGGATGTGACACAATTAGGTTTGCATTTGAAAGTGTTCTCACTGCAATGTGTTGGATGAATTAGGTTGCATCATTGCATTATAATACATGAGAACAGACATCCTTGTATATCAGACAATAAGTTCCACAAGGGACCTAGCAATGTTTTAGAGTAAGTAAATGATACAGGGTCACATGACATATCTTTTAGGAAGCTCTCTGTTTTTTACCTTTTCTTATTGAACAAAGACAGAGTGAAGTCAGGAAAGGTGTTTTGTTTATGTTTCTAGGCTTCTCGCACCAGGGTTACCACTCCTCAGGGTGTGTGCCAAGGGGAGGGAGCCTCCCTTGCTCTGACTCGCTCCACACACTGCTCAGCTTACGCCTGCAGTCTTGCTTGGATCCAGACCCAGGACCACCTGCCAGATCTGAAAGCGTCTCAAGAATGAGATGGATTCACCCGAGAAACTGGATAAGAACAGCTTAGTGGGTAGGTTCCTTCCTCCTCTCTGAATGTCACACGCGTGTCATTCAGAGCAGGCGTGGAGCACTGGAGGGGTGTGATGTGTCACGGGTACACCCACCGAGACTGACTTCAGCTGGGCATGCTTGCAATCTGGAGACTGAGGCAGGAGAATTGCTATGAGTTCAAGACTAGACCCCATCTCAAAGAGGGGTGGGGCCCCCTTCAATTCCACGTAAAACCGCTTGTTTTGTATTTGCTCTGGTTTTGTTTGGTTTTTGAATGGTGGTCTGTAACTCGTCTTGGCTCCCTTTGTGATCAAATAGTCATTTGTTTATCTTTATAGCGCTTTCTTCACTTTTGCATAGCCGAGATATGGTGGAGGCTGACTTTCCTCCATCTTCAAATGTATATGATGATGCTCTCTCTCTCTGTCTA